TAGAGAGAGCACATAGACTTTTCAGTGCTTCAGATCTTAACAGTGAGGGAAAGTGACATCATTTCCTGTATCTTACATAGTTGTGGGAGATAATTCCACTAATTTAAAGGCAAAGTATGGTATGGTAACAGAGTTGACGCAAGATTTACGGACACACATTTTTATAAGAAAAAAGTTATTTTTTTTAAATAATGTTGTAGAATTAGGTAAATGACTCTTTAGGGCTTTTATAAATAAAATGAATGAAATATTACCAAAAGAAAAGTACAATAAAATATTTTGATTACACAATGATACATGATGGAAAAAATGCACTGATTAATTCGGACAACAAGAAATCATGATTTTCAGCTATTTAAGACACTTTTTGCAAAAAATATAATATTTTTATGGACTGTAACATCTTGTAATTCATAACAATGAGTAACACAGTATTAAAATAATTAAAAATATAACCATTTGAAAAAAGCAGAAAAAAAATAATGACTTCGGACACCAAATGTACCTACAATTTTAGAATCACTCATATGTCTGTGCAAGCTTTGGAGGTATTGATGGAAGCGATTTACTGGATTTATGCTTTGATAATTGTACTGAATATTATCCAGATGTAGTTTTTGATAAAAATGTGATTTTCCTCTTACTTTTGCTCAAAATTATGCATTATGAGACCTACCTATATTCAAGTGTTGATAAAAAAGAATGCTTTAAGCTAGAATAAAACTTTTTTTTTTTTTTTTTAAGTAGAGGCTCGGATCTTTATTATGGTGTATTGCATATTCAAATATTCATAAAGCAAAATATACTGGAGGCCATCAAATTTGAGTGAACATCATCAAAATTGCTGGCGGTGGCTGGCAACTTTTTTTCAAAAATGCTGGCGGGGAAAGAGTTAACAAGTCAATAGGGTTTTTTTTAACTTTTAAATATTATAATGAAAGTCAATGGGATCCATTGTCTCTTTTGGACCCCACTGACTTTCTTTATAAGGATTAAAAGTAAAAAAAATAAAAATAAAAAACTCCATTGCCTTGTTAAAGTTTCAATGAAATAGAAGAAACTGTAAATCTGTTTGCACTCAACATGGGCAAGTGAAATTCCAAATCCATTTTTCCTGTTGTCGGAAGTAGCACAAATGTGCAGAGTCAGGGTCTAAAATTAACACTCACTAAGTAAAACTGGAGTTGGCAAGCATATGAAACGGTTACTCACATGTTGGCTAGTAACTTTTTCGTTTATTAAATGTAATAATGCCTGAGAATGTGATATGTTTTAGCGCAATTACCAAATCCAAGACTGCTTTGCAATTATAAATACTGTATGTAATCTGTGAGCTTTTCACGTGAGCCACTCATGATAACAGCGTTTTCAGTGTCCCAGGGCGGTTCGCAGTAAGGCTGAAATTATCCACAAAAGTGTGAATGGAGGCTGTAAGTTAGCCATTTGCTTTAAAAACATTATAGACTAATCCTGCTTTAGCAACCAGTGCCGCTCACCATTTTTCAGAAAATCTTTTGCTCTTTTCTAATGTACGTCTGTGGAGGATCATTGTGTTTGGACCAATTGTCAATTGAATTTTATAGGAATTACTCCAAATTATGTTAAACCGTTGCTGAAACAAAGCAGCATCTGTAAATACCTTTCCCTTGTTGAAGTAGTGGATGACCTTACGACAGAGACCCTCTTTGCGATGCCATTCGCTCTGCGCAGGATAGTGCAGGAACTCCCGGAGGGGCCTTTCCTCCCAGTGGAGCAGCTCCCAGTACAGCAGGAGGGTAAACGCCGCCTCTGTGAGACACAACGGTTGATAAAGTTGAAATACTCTTTGAGTAAGGTACCTCCTTTTAGAGCTGGTAGAGCATAGTGCTAGCAACACAAAGGTCATGGGTTCGAATGCCAGGAAACATACAGTATGTAGTGATAAAATGTGTACTTTATAGGCCTTATGTAGCTCCGCCCCTTTTCAGCACTGCGCTTTTTCTCTTCTGTCTTCCAATTTGTATTTCCGCAGTGTGAAGGTAAAGTTGTACGAATTAATGAATGAACTGCTCGTTTTAAAGTCTTCCCGGTCTACTGACATTTCTTATGACATCCACTTCGAATATGCACATGGCAACGTTCTCTACAATAAGTCAATCCATTTCACAAGCGAATTACTTTTGACAGCAGTGCCATAGAAATATGCAGAGCTACTGCGAAAATGGAAGTTCAAAGACAAAATTCTAAAGATGACTGCACACTTGTTTCTTTGACGCATAAGGTCTATATGCACTATAAGGGGCTGTTAACACAAAATTTGTTTATATTCCATTGCACTGCTTTTCCATTGGTTTTCTATGTAAATATGTGCTATAAGGATCTTTGAGTGTTGCGTTTTTGTCTTTTGCAGCATCTCACTTATGAATTGGTGCTTTAAAAACGTGACGCTCAAGTTGCAATAATTTTAAAGGGATAGTTCACCCAAAATGAAAATTACCTCCTGATTTACTCACCCTCAAGCCATCCTAGGTGTAAATGACTTTCGTCTTCCAGACGAATACAATCGGAGATATATAAAAAAATGTGCTGGCTCTTCCAAGATTTACAATGGCAGTGAATGGCTGTTGAAATTTTGAAGTCCAATAAAGTGCATCCATCCATCATAAAAAGTGCTCCACACGGCTCCGGGGGGTTAATAAACGCCTTCTGAAGTGAATCGATGCATTTGTGTAAAGAAAAAAAAAATCTTATTTTAAACTTTATAAACCGTAATATCTAGCTACCGCTAACTGTCATACGAGAGAGTGGCGTTCCAGCAGATGACGTAGGACAAATGCATAGCGTAAGCTCCAGTAAGAGGTGACGAACGCGGAAGCGCAGAAGAGTGAGCAAAACAAAACACTGGTCATGTCTTACAAGTACAAAATATGGATTTGTAAAGAAAAATGTCAGAGGATTTCAATATAAGCCAAGAGGAGACTGGTTTTCCTTTGCTGTAAACAAAACTTGGTTCTTGTGAGTACGACAGTTAGCGAAAGCTAGAGATTAAGGTTTATAAAGTTTTAAATATGGATATTTTTCTTACACAAACGCATCGCTTCCCTTCAGAAGGCCTTTATTAACCCCTGGAGCCTGTGTGGAGTAATTTTTTATGATGGATTGATGCACTTTATAGGCTTTATAACAGCCATTCACTGCCATTTTAAATCTGGGAAGAACCAGGACATTTTTAATATAACTCCGAATGTATTTATCTGAAAGAAGAAAGTCATGTACACCTAGGATGGCTTGAGAGTGAGTAAATCAGGGGGTAATTTTCATTTTTGGGTGAACTTCCCCCTTTAACTTAAAAAAAAAAACACCTCTCGACCTAACATTTTTTTATTTTTTTATTTTATTTTATTTTTTCATTGCAATGCCCTGCGTCTTGTGCTTTTAAATGCAAAAACACATTCTGTGAATAATGCCTCACCTGTATAGTTTTCGGCCTGCAGGTGCATGTCGCACAGCTTGTGGATGTATCTGATGTACATCTCCTCCTTATTAATCTCCGACTTGTAGAAATTCTACAAAATGAGATCATATGACTTTTACTTTTACTTAGACATATACTTTTGTCTAATTGCAAAAATGCCACATTGCATATATTAGGCTGACAGTGGATTGAATAAAGGGTAAGACTCGCCAGCAGGTTAACAGTGCAACCGATCTTCTTGTTTTCTGTCTCATCACCTTTCATGCAATCTCTGCCGACACAAGAAACAGGAAGTCTCATTAGATACGCCCTCTGATGCCACGCCCACCGACACAAGAAACAGAAAGTCTCATTAGATACGCCCTCTGATGCCACGCCCACTGACCATATATGGGCCATATGATGCGTTTGCACTCAAAAATGAGAAGAACTTCGATTTGAATCTGTCTGGTTTCTATGCAGTTTACGAAGAGTTTTACATACAATTTATTGATTGCTAGATGCTGTGCAACAATAATGAGTTTTGGCTGAACATTTTACATGTCAAAAGTCAAATGGCCACTTCCTGTTTAAGTCAGCAGCCACAAAATAAACAAAAAACAAAATAAAATGACAAAAATTTTAACTATAATTAAAATGAAAACGAAAATATGTAAATAACAGCTAATTAAAAGCTGTTATTTATTTAACTACGGAAAATATTAATTATCCGTAGACACTAGAATGAGAGTTTTACCTGTAGTCCAGCAGTCTCTCCATGAGGCGCGTGACAGATGTGACGAAAGAGACGCCCGTCTCCCTCCAGGTCTCCTGCTCGATCTTCTCCAGCAGACTAGACATAAACAACACACACATATATAGAATTATTTAAGGGCACTTCATGGGCTGAAGGTAAAACAGGGGCTTGTAATGGAAGATCCGTTTTAATGGCATCTGACAGGTTGAACAGGGTTAGTTTCCTCTTACCTGGGGTACGGCCCAAACAGTTGAGTTCTAATAATCCCGCAGCACAAGGCAAATCAGAGACACTCAGGTTATAACAAGAGTACTTAAACAGCTGGATGTGTAGCTGTGTGTGTCAGTGGAGAAGGTAGAGGGAGTGTGTGTGTGTGTGTGTGTGTGTGTGTGTGCACGCACTTACAGCAAACTGAAGAGTTCTCTGTAATTCTCGTCTCCTTTGCCTTCAGACACCAGACTGTCCAGTTTGTCTATCAGTTCTGCCTCGACCTGCACCGTAAACATGAACTGAATTATGTGCTTATAATGAAACAGATCATAATGCTAAGTAATATTTCTTTATTAATATTATTTATGTTTTCAGAAATTAAATTGTTTTTGTCATTTGGTGCCACCCGAATTGCCAAGAATGGATGCTGATAAAAAACATTACATAATTACATAAATAAATACATTTTAAAAAATGTACTTTGTAACAGTGTTTTATTACGTAAATGTTACTTTTTTTGTGATTTAAACAAAAAGATAATAATAATATCATAACAAAATATTTTATTGGTTTTATTGTTGTTATTATTGAATGTAATAATAATAATAATAATATATTACATATTTTATTATATTAATTTATTTATATTATTTTTTTTCTTCAAAATGACATTATTTCTCAATTATTTCTCAAGAACAGCCTGAATATACAATAATTATTTCTTAATTCATTTTTTCATTCATTTTTTTTTTCATTATTGTTATTATTATTATCAGTTTTTTCCATTATTATTTGCCATTTACTATTATTTACCATTTATCATTTATGGTTACATTTAGAGTGAAAATAAATCATAATCATATTCTTTTGTTTCCCTGGAACATAACTCAGGTTAAGAGAAACAGAAAAAAATAGCCAAGAAAAGACAGAAAAGCAGAAGCAGGTATAATGGACCTGTTTGAAGTTGCCGTTCTTTCTCTGTTCCCAGTCCATCATATCGTGGAAGATGGGGATCATTATGTTTCGGACTTCATTTTGTGGTACAAGCGTCTACAAATTCCCTTTTTTTTTTTTTTTTAAATGGTGGCTCTTTATTGTTAAAACCTGAATGTCTGGGTTTATGTAACAAAGTGAGTGAGCTTTACATGACAGAACGAATCTGAAATCTGTTATTTTGAATAATATTAATAATGAAAAACCCTCTGAGTTGCAGCAACACCTTTTATTAGTTATGGGGGAATTTCTGCAGTGCAGTACCTTCCTCTAGCTCTAGAGGTCCGTACTGCTTTTCTAGAGGAAGTGGATGTTTGTGTTTGTGTTTCTGTGCGTGTGCAGAGAAATGCAGGAAAAAAGAATGAAACAGAGTCGAAAGACAGAGAGAGAATCAAAACGCTCACCCAAATTCTGCCACATGCTAAACAGCTCATAAGCCATCATGACCCTCATATCACCATACCTGAAAAGACAAGAAAAACACATTAAAAACTCCTCTAAACCCATGCAGGAATCTAAGACGACAAACAAACAGCATTTATTAAACACACTAGACTCAGAAGAACAGAAGAGCCACACGCTGGGCTGAAGATCACAGGCGTAAAAAGGAGAAGCAGAGAGATGAATCGACCCTCTCGACAAACTCACAGGGTGATCATCTATCTTGCATGCCGTGCAGAAGTCTTGCGCACATTTCTGCATCTAAGGCTTTTTTTGTATTTGAGTATTTGACCAATAACTGAAGGAACAGATATCTATTAATCATGAGATGTAGCTAGCCAGTAAAGAAGGAATACAAAGAGATGTTGCATGTACTCCAGATGGATTTAACATGGATTAGCCCACGCTACAATACTCAAATTATTATTTGTTTCATATTTAAAGAGTATCTGGGTTAAATACAACTTAAACTCTGCTGACAGCATTTGTGACATGACATTTGTGAAAGTAATTTGGAAAACTATTACAATCTGCATGCATTTAGAAACAATGACAGGTTGATTTCTTCGTAACGTCTTTAGACAATACAGTGTGTGAATGAGCAGGATCAAGTCTTACTTGTCAAAGACCTTCTTCCGCTTGGCTGGTGTCAGAGTCTCCAGCTGTAGACTGGGCTGGTTGATAAACAACACTGCCAGACTGAAGTACGAATTCCACACCTGACGGAAAAAGCAACACAAACCTTTAGTGATGCTACTGTGAGACTCTATGTGCTGCCACATTTCTTTAATAGAGATCTTGACAAAGTTTTGAAGGAGAATTAATATAATTCATGTAGCCAATAGCATTCCCTTGGATATACACAACTGATTGATTATTTGGTGGGCGTGTCTTCAAGAGTTCAAGCCCCTCCTCTTCCAGAAAGGAAGCCATGCCTCCCAATTATTTTCCATATCAAACTATTCTGAGCTATTGTTTGAACACTAATGGTAAGGTCACATTTACCGTTGCTCTGCACATTTTTGTCGACGAAATCCAGTATGCCCGTGAAATTGACCACACCTTAAGGGTGTCAATTGATATTTCAATATTCATGCTGTTATGACATGCGGTTTTAGCATGGCTTCACTAGTCAAACTAATCTACCTGTGATGATTAAGTACCTTAACCAGTTCAGACTGGATTCCGGATTTAAGATGCTCTACATTGACTTGAACACACCTATTGATTCTTGGGTGGGCATGTCCTAGTCCCCTCTTCCAGAAAGGAAGCCACACCCACCAATTATTTTGCACATGAAACTATTCTGTACTATTTTCTCCATACATTTTTGTTGATGAAATCCTGTAATTTCAATAGGAATCCACAGAAAAGGGAACTCTGCGAAAGATTTCTCAATGCAGATTTCGTAAAGGAGTCAGTTGGTCATGTGACATTGCTACGCTGACTAACAGAAATCTGGTTGTTTCAAATTGACTTCTGTGTGAGCTGTGCTTCATACATCTACACTATTGACTATAGACAATGGACCTTCTTTTGCCTGTGAAATTTAACCAAAATTTCAGTAATGTGACCATATCTTAAGGATGTCAATTGATATTAGTTACGATATGCTGAATAAGTTTTACATTGCTTCACTGGCCAAAGCGATCTACCAGTGTCTATTAACCATCCTAACCAGTTCAGATTGGATTCCGGATTAAAGTTGCTCCACAATGGTCTACTCTTTTTCTTTTTTTTTTTTTTAGGGGATATCCAGTGAAAACCCACACTGGTAGACAGGGCCATGTTTTTCTCTCAAAGATAACCTTCATTAATAATTCAGTAGATTTGAACTTTTCAGAGCCAGTCTCTCTGGTTAGTGGTACCATCTGTCTTGATCAAGGAGGAGAGCTTCATTAGAGTGGATTAGAGAGAGCCAAGAGTGTCCAACAGCAGGACACCATAAAGTCCCACATGAAGCACATTTGTGTACATGTGGAATGTGATATTCAGAAAATGGGACGTGTGTGGGTTTGAAAATTATGTTTATGTTTAATGTGTGTTTCAGTGCCAGGGAGTCTGTGGTTCATCACAATCACACACCTTAAAATCAAAGTCAGCATCTGTAAAGCTTTTATGAAGAGCAGGCGACAGATACTGAGTTGTGCTCACAATGATACTGCAAGAAAGAAAAGGTTAATTTTAAAAACAGAGTATAGTGTACAGTATAAATATTTGATGATCTTTTTTTTTTCTTCAGGATTTTTTGATGAACGGTCACATTTCATGCATCCATGCTGGAGAAAAATATTACTTTCTTTAAAAATAATAAAGTCTTTTTGACCACAAACTTTTGACAAGTAGTGTATATTTTTGCTTGAAAAGTGCACTTATGCTCTGTAAAAATAATATCTAATGCAATGACATTCATATTGAAAGTGACTTTACTGTCATTGTCAAGTAACTTTACAAGTACTAAAAATATGATAATTCCAGAGAAATACATTGTATTATACCATATATGTTATTAAAAAATGTTTATTCAAACCAAAACAATATGTTTTGAGCCAAAAAAATAAAAATCAATAAGGAAGGAAACAGGAATGAGGTAGAAAAGGGAAAAAATGGATCGATTCTCACTTGCTGGTCAGCAGTCGCATGACGTTCCAGTCACGTGGGAATATACTGAGCTTCATCAGGTTTCTGAATACACAGAAAATCTTCAGCAAGAACTCCTGCAAGAGATAGGATTGTATAAGCTGGGTTAGAAGAAAGTATTTTCACATTTAAAGCTTGATTTCTGAAATTTATGAGACGGTTCACCTTCAGCTCCTCTTTGCTTTGGAAGTTGTCCAGTAGGTGTTGAAAATGAATGTCTGACATCTGACGCAGGAGGGACAACAAGCAGGACACATACTCCCCCTGCCAATCAGAAAATGGGCAAGTCCTTGTGAGCCAATCAATCTGTTCATTTGGCAATCAAACAGCCAATCAAATGCATCCAAAGGGAGCGGGGAAGCAGAATGAAGGAGAGACGTGAAGACACTGTGGGATGAATTCACTAAACAGTTGTGGCACTTAGTCTCAGCCTCAGACGGCATGCCACAGACCGCCTACAGTCTGTTCACTAAATTTCTGATGCATATTACGCACAAAAATGAAAAGGCTGGCTGAAATCACCAGTTCTAATCTGACTAGCTGGCTTTACACAACTTTTTTAATCAGTTGATATAATTCACTTGTCAGTCCAAGTGGGCAGTTCTTGGCCAGTATAAACTCCAATGTGGACTAGACTTTATGTTGTTAGTCAAAAGTCTGGCAATGTGAGAGCATGGTATTTCAGCACAAAACTCTATTTCTGATTCACCAACCACCCACAATCCAATTAAAGCAGGCACAATATGCGTATTTATATTAGGTCATTGTCATTCTTCTTTGGGCAACCATTCCCGTAAATGCCATGTAAATGACGCTTTTTGTAGAATGTGACAGACTCACAAATGTCAACGTTTTTTTTCTTTTACCTGACACAATTAACATTAGTATCAGCCACAGAATATTAAAAATATTTCAGCAGTAGTTCATAAAACAATTATCAAATTATTTTAACTAGGCATGGATCCACATGGAGGATTAATTCATGCACTTTTTCTGCATTTTAAAGACCCAGGTGCTAAAACAACTCAGACAATGTTTGCAAATTTGTAATGCTAACAAAGGGTGCAGTTTATTCGAAGTGAATTCTCCCGTCTGATTAGACCATGCTTTCTTTTAACTACATATACACAGAGACATGATATTAGTTCTGCTGGGTTTAAGTTTATAAGCTATGTATGATGAATACATCAAAAATTAAACATTAAGCAAGCAAAAGTATATCAAAGGATGCAAACCCATACATCAGAGTACAGATCAGAGCATGTTTGCGTTGTAGTAGTTTACTGTTTATCTTAGCCTTCTGAGCAGGTGTTACAACAGTCTAAATGTAAGAGACGTAAGACAAACATGCATGGGTGAGTCTCACGAAACCTGTCATGAAAGATCAGGGTCAAATTTCATGCAACAATGAAAATAATTAAGACATTTTGCATTTAGATTTTGCGTAAAGAAAATTACGCCAAAGAAAGTAATGGTCCTAAACAGAAGCTTCATTTTCTTTTGTCCTTAAAATGTGCATTTTATGTGCAGTTTTCGTGAAATTCACCCGCATGAAGACATACTGTATTATGTGTGAGTCAGTGAGTGAGTGAGTGTGAGAGACGTAATAAACACAGACATGAACATGAACATGAACGAGAGAGCGAGAGAGAGAGAGAGAGAGAGAGAGAGAGAGAGAGAGAGAGCAACAGTGATTACTTTTCTATTTAAGTTACAGTAATTGTCAGATATCCAAATATAAATACACCCGTTTTGTCAGTTTAACACGTTAATTTGGTATGATTCATGTTGGAGCTTGAGGCAGATCTATTTAGACAATTTTAATGTTATCATTAAATATGAATTTCTTTATGAAGAAAATTAATGTGATTTTACTTTCAGAACCTGACTGTTGTACTCTGTAGTAAGAAAAAGAAGAGTTCCAGAAAGATGCTGGGAAAGAAACAGAAGATGAAGAAAAGATCTCAGTAGGGATGCAGCCAAGCAGGTGGAGGAGAAGAGGGATGGAGGGAAGGAAAGAAGTAGAATATCAGATTTGTTAGTTACTAACAGTGATCTCAGCCGTGCACTGTGGACAGCGCTGCCCTCTTACCGCCTCCTGAGACTGAGATTTACTCATGATGGCCAACAGCGTCTGTAACAACACATCCAACAAACTCTCCACCATCATCTCTACCTCCTCCTGCACAGAGCTCTCCTGCAGACAGGAAAAGAGAAACATCGTCTCCTTAACCAAAGTCATAAGTGGGATGTTCAAAATTTTGATGACATGCACATTGACAAAAGTGTACCAGTGAGCTGCTTTTAATAATGGAGAAAATGCTGCTCAGGATTCCCGAGCAGATCAGAAGCTCCTTCTGTTGCCGCAGATGCAGATGAATGTGATGGAGAACAACAGGAAGGAGAATTCTCCTTGATTCTGTGTAAACAGACAGAGAGAGGTTATTAACTCAATTCACCTGATTAAGATTTCAGACATTTACACTGTCATAAAAACATGTGCAAAAATGATACCTTTTAGAAGTACAACAGCTTGTCACCGTGGCAGTACCCATAAAAGGGACAACTTTGTACCTTGTCTAACTATAAAAGGTGCATATTAGTTCCTTAGAGTAGTAATATGTACCCTTAAGGTACTACTAGGGGTAAATAAGGCACAAAGATGTCCCTTTGAGAGTACTGCCCCAATGACAAGCTGTTGTACCTCTAAAAGGTAAAATTTTACACATTAGAGAGTGAAACAATTCTTTAAGAAACACCTGGGAAGGAGAAAAGCCTGCTATCCACTGTCCGAGCAATGGACTGCAGCTTAACCACATCCATGGACTGACCGATGTGGACCGTACTAGGCATGCTACCCAGAGTTCCTCTCACAAACTCTGCCACTTCCTGTACTGTGAACATCTGGAGGAGCTCGTCAAAAATTGCTGGGAAAGAGTTGAGTAGGGCAGCCTGAAAATATGGGAAGAGACCAGAGAAAGAAAGGTTAACTTTTGCAATTTGGTCATCGTTTGTGTTCCCCTTCAGATTAAACAAGATATGTAGGCCCTGTTGGCCAAAGATGGGATGGACATCATCCACAGAGCAAGAGACGAAGTAACAGTGAGGCTTCGTCAGCACCTCATGGTTACTTGGTAGATTAGAGATTCAGTCAATTCAATTTTTTAAGAAGATGCCAAACAAATGAGAGATCACCTCCTGGAGACCCACTGTGCAACAGAGCTTAGCTCAAACGCTAATCAAACAAACCTAAACCAACTAAGCAAGGTCTTCGGTCACTTGACAATTACAGGCAGGTGGGTTGGAGTAGGTTGGAACTAATCTTTGCAGGACAGTGTGTCTCTGGGAGCAGGGTTGGAGACCACTCGGTCACAGTCATAGTCAAAAACCTTGGACTTGGCTATTCCTTAATTCAAAGGTCCATTACATCTCTTGCTTCTGAGGACTTCCCATACCCACTTTGCTCATCAGCCCAATAATACGATCCACTGCAGGCAAGGTGATCTCTGGTCCCCGGTTCAATGCCACTGAAGATCAAAGGTGAATCATGTGGGCGTTTGGAAGGATTTGACTTTGTGCAGGATAAGATTTGGTGTCAAACACAGCAATCAAAACCAAGAAACACATCAAAGAATCCAGTGGAAGATGCACTGGAAGCATAGAGAACCATTTGTTGGTGTTGGTCAGTTTGTTTGGGTTGTTGGTTCATGTTGTGGTCTGGTGTTCTGGAAAGGTACTGAGTGGTTGTATGTGATGGTAGATGTTTTGTGCTTTGGCATTGGGTTGGGTTGTAAGAATCCAGTGGAAGATGCACTGGAAGCATAGAGAACCATTTGTTGGTGTTGGTCAGTTTGTTTGGGTTGTTGGTTCATTGTTGAGGTCTGGTGTTCTGGAAAGGTACTGAGTGGTTGTATGTGATGGTAGATGTTTTGTGCTTTGGCATTGGGTTGGGTTGTGAGGGAATCTCCATTCTATTACTGTGGGGCAATTCAACAAGCTGCATCTACTTACACACAGCTGAGAGGGCCGTGGGGAATTACAGCTCAACGGCTGCAAGCAGTTGCCCTGGTTGGTAGTGGCTTGTCCTGTAGTTGGCTGGGTACCCTAGGGGGTACAATGAGGTTGGGCAGGATTGGGTCAAGATAAAGGGCAGGGATGGGAAAAGTCCACAAACGTACAATATGGGACAATTCAGGAAAATATTAAGTCAACAAAATCCAAAGAAGACTAAATCTTCATTAAACCATTTGTGCAAGAATTGTGGGCAGGATGGACTGTACTGTGTTCAGACATTGATTAATCAAAGTACAGTCAATTTTTTTCCCTAGGTTCCGGGTGGATCCAGAATTTAATGATGCTTTGATGGAGGCATGAATGATAAAATATGGTGGTGACAGAAGAAGCCATGTGTAAGAAAAGCTTTGTGAAAGAGTTCAAACATAACCTAATGAAGATGTACCTTGAAAATAATCAAACATAAACATCAATAGTGAAAGAAATGTCACATTTTCCTGTACAAACACTATCGTTAACTAAACGAAAGTGACTTATAACGAAATACATCATTCTACAAACCCCAACCCTTTACACAAAAACTGGTGAAAAGTAAAACATATCTAGTTATCAGATCATCATAGTAACTTGGGGGAGAGGAGAGCTAGTTTGACACAGAACCCCTCAGAAACCACCCACAGCATCCTAGCATCATAGGGACAATTACCATTCACACCATCTTCAGACAATGTAAAAATCTAGTGACTAATGATACTACAATATCTCAAGATCTTGTTTTGGTGGCTTTCTTTGTTGGTGTCTGTCGATTTTCATCCTAAATCCTCTTGTCTTGTGTTCTTCAAATCTGACACCTACAGAACATTTCACATCTACTTCACTGAGCAAACAATCTGAAGCGAGCAGATATCTTTACTTAAACATACTCCTGCTGCCTTCAGGAAAAACCTTGTTTTGTCTGATCGCAACTCGCTCTATCTAAGAAATTATTTCACATGATTTTTCTTGAGATGGGGCTGTCTAAACAGCTTAGATGTGCAACTTCTTTAGGGCAGAGATAGACAGATGCATCAATCTCATAGAAGACTAAACAAACCTGGGCCTCAAGGAAACAGCTTTGATCTTGGGTCAACAACTGTGAATTTGGACATCAGCAAGTCGTTACAACTCGATCCTTTCATTTTCAAACACATTAGACCACCTTGATCTTTTGTCATTTTCGCTTAGTTCCTCAATTAAACCAATGTGAAGTTTAAATTGATAAATTCATTCATATAAAAGTGCGCATTAACAAACCATTCATCCATTACTTCCCACTCCTAGTAATTTAGGCTTTTTATTTTTGACACAGTTATTCTTATATATCAGATTGTTTCTTTAGGTAGTATCTCCTTACAAATGGAAATGTTCATAAACATGAAATGTGGACAGTTTTTGAGTTTATATCTGACCTGGGTAAAAATGAGTGTCTCAGAGCTGCGGCTGTCCAGACTGAGCACGAAACGGATGGATTGGAAAAGCTCCTGGATGCTGGCCCGAAATTGGTCCTCCTCCATCCCACAGGTGGCCCGGGAGTAGAGGATCCGTGACTGGATGATGAATTTAAACAGGTACTCTAGAGCCTGGAAGATTTACATTTACTATAAAATGTCTTTAAAACACATCAAGTACAATCAATACGGACAATCCCTGTGCTTATACCTTGAAGACAAATGAAGAAAGTTAAAAATTAAAAAAAAAAAAATTCACATTTTATCACTTAACTCGGGTGCTAATGAAACTAAATACTTACAAAAAAAAACTTTTTTTTCTTCATAAAATTTCATTTGTACCGAGTAGTTTTTGATTCAAAGCAATGAGTTTATGCTTAAATGGATGGCTTTGCACAGTTGCATCAAAGTCTCCTGTGTCTTTCATAAGCCAATTTCAAATGCTGAGATAAAAGGTTTTACTTCTAAATACGTAAGTACAATTAAAAGTGGAAACTTTTCTTACTTTCACTCAAGTATGTGTTTGGCTAGATACTTTTGAAATTTTTGACGCAGCACCCACACTTTAACTGAAGTATAATTTCTCTGTACTTTTACAGTGCTTGACATTTTAATATGAGGGTACTGTCAGAACCAAAATGAATCACCATTTAAATCAGTGATAGCAATACATCTCAACAAAAACGTCTCAGCTTACGTATGTAACCATGGTTCCCTGAGAAGGGAACGAGACACTGCGTCCTCTAGAGGTCGCTATGGGGAACGCCTTCAGCGTGACCGGTGTCTGAAGCATACATCTAAAAACCACAATAACATTGGCCGGCGACAGGCTATAACATCATTACCCTGCGCTATCACAGTATAAAAGGGCACCGGGATAACACGTCATCCGCTTCTTCGTCCGCAACATGGCAAGGAAACTAGAGGATGCAGTGTCTCGTTCCCTTCTCAGGGAACCATGGTTACATACGTAACCTGAGATGTTCCCTTTCAAGGGAACTTCGAACTGCGTCCTCTAGAGATCGCTATGGGGAACGGTATACCCACGCCACCATGCTGAAGGGAGTGCATGCCAGAAAACCATGGCGAGCACTAAGTACCAACTCTACTATAGCCATGGGAGTTGCCCCAAAGGACGTATTGACGGCTGTCAGTGACATTATCCCCTTCGGCCAAGGGCCTGAGCTGCATACCCTAAAATAACTTACCTGTTAAGGGCTGGGCTAGGAAGCCCAAGCCTAGGGCAGAGCTCAAGGCTTGGAATCAGAAGAAAGAGATTCCTTTAAGGGGATGTGGCCAGTGTCTAAAAAACCACACCAGACCCTGGCCTGTCACACCAGTTCTGAATAAACCTGTTCAAAGAACTGACTCAAAATATCTTAAGTAGCAACACCCTGCTCAGAAATGTATCAACAGAGACACATTAGTTGAGTGGAGCCCAAGGAGAGAACCGGGGCCTAAGCCAACTCAGAGAAAGGGAACGAGGCTGACAGCGCGTAACCCTTACCATGCAGGATTTTAGAAAGTGTGCAGAATGCTCAGCATGCACACTTACCACAATGTGGATTTTAGAAAGTGCACAGAGCTTAGCGTGTGCACTTACCATAGCATGGATTTAGAAACACCATTGCTTAAGGGGTAACCGAGGCTGTATTAAGCCAGCCTAGGGACTCTAAGTGACTGTGGCACGCTCACAGAACAGATTCCGAAGCATCTGCTCACAGATGCCCAGAAGTCCTCAGACACTCAATAGGGAGATGCAGGCTCAAAGACAACCCTCTGAGGTGAGGGGACCTCACCCTACTCAGAAATGTATCAACAGAGATACATTAGTTGAGTGGAGCCCAAGGCGAGAACCGGGGCCTAAGCCAACTCAGAGAAAGGGAACAAGGCAGACAGCGCGTAACCCTTACCATACAGGATTTTAGAAAGTGCGCAGAGAGCTTAGCGTGCACACTTACCACAATGTGCTTTTTAGAAAGTGCACAGAAGCTTAGTGTGTGCACTTACCACAGATGCCCAGAAGTCCTCAGACACTCAATCGGGAGTGGCAGGCTCAAGGAGAGAGAGGAACCCAGCTCGACCGAAGCGACCAATAGCCCAGGGTAGAGGACTTAACTCTCGAGTCGAGAGGAGGACTCACCCAGTCTGCCCAGGACTGGCGAGCTCAAAGGGACCCTCTCGCAGTGAGGGGAGCACAGCCATGATAGATCACAAATGGGACATCAGAAATGGGATCCTGCTAGAAGGGCCCTTACAGCACATACTGGGAGCGACTCATAGCTAACCCTCATAGAGAGGGGAGCACTTCTCAGCTCGACCAGAAGGGGGCGCTAGATTAGAAGGGGTAACCCAGCAGGGCCCAATAAGAGACAGTCCACTGGTGCAGCTGGACA